GGTCCTAGGTTGTGGGTGTATGTGCCCTCCGTCCCCCGGGCACTGACCGTCCTCGGCTGTAGCTGTATTGCATTCACGCTCAGAGGTCAAGGTGTAGTTAGTGGCAAAGCTACTGCACTGATGCCCACCCAGGAGCATGGAGTAGCAGGAGGGGCCTGCTCAGGGGCTCTTTGGTACCCGTAAGGGAGCTTTGCTAAGGGATGACTACCTGGGTCCTGTTGTAAGGAAGTGTTGCTCTGTCCCAGAGCAAAGACTCCAGGCTTAGGTTAGCCTGCATAAAGACAGACTAGGGAACCCTGGAATTCAAACACCCTAGCCTTGTCTAATCTCAGGTGCATTTCTTTTAGATTACAGCCCAAATGAAATTCCTGTACGAGGAACTCGGACTTGACAGCACCAATGCTTTCGAGGATCTTAAAAAATACCTAAAATTCTGAAATGCTGCATTCAACTGGGAAGTGGAAACACACAGAAATAACAGTCTGATTTCCAGCTAGCTTAGCAAAAGTGAAGTTTTTTAAGTTATTGCTTAATTTTTTAAAAAGTTGTTCTTCGTGTAAATTTTGCTTAATGTACTACTCACTTGTATGTTCACACCAGCACATACATCCTACCCTGGGATTTAGTCATGCTCTTTAGTAGGGTGTAGAAGAAGCCAGAAGGACTGGGCAGGAGAACACCAGGCCTCCCTTTCAATCAGAACAGCTTCGTGCCTATTAATAGAATTTTCTTTGACCAGTTTACAAGTCAATGTTCTTCTCTTTGCTAGTTAATATTTCTAGACACTGTCAGTGAGTCAGCTTGCAGTTCCCACAACTCCACTTTAAAGAATAGCATTCTTCATATTTAAATGCTTTAGAATTTTGGAATAATCTTTTAAACACTTTATTGTTCTTTTAAACATTCGAGAATCTCCCTAAAACAATTGCACTCATGCTACAGAAATTTAAGAGTTGACGGCCATTCCTGCAGCTTCTTCAGCAGCATGCTGTACATAATGCTAAGACATTGGGCACAGAGCCACCGTCTCCTAAGTGGAGACTCCTAACAGAGGTTGTGCAGAATATCCAAGACGCTGGAATAGCACGCGCGATTGGAAACAAAACATCTGTCTCTGAAAGCTTGTTGGTGGTGGAGGAGAGTCTTCATGCTGTACTCCAAGATGAGTCCTTCTCCCTTCTCCAGAGAGATGGCACGTGTATCAACATCACTGCCTTTGGAGGATGAATTGGTACTTAATTTTATTCTCAATTTCATAGGAAGATCTGAAATGACTTCCTGTAGATTTAGCAGAGTTGATGATTCTCCAAAATTCAGAATCACAATGAAGACTTTATCTATGCCATCGAGTTCTCTTGTGTACACAACGGAGTGGCTGTCATCCTTCAAAAGGCAAAACCAGCCCCTGCTGAGAAGCAGCTCTTGAGCACGCAGTAGACTTAAATCCTGATACATCTTCAACACTGAACTCGACTGTGTCTTTTGGACCTGTTTTTTTAAAAAGAATATTCATATAAATATTCATGTTTTATTTTAAGAATTATTTCCTCCCCTCAAAGAAAAACTTGCTTTCATTTGCCCTTTAAAATAACTGCCCAAATAAGTAACTAACTGCCAAACTATAAAGCATTTCAAAGTAGCTACCCTAAAGTCATAGGAATTACAAAGTCATGTTTCTGCTTGTCTGGAGCTATCTCAGTGCAAGTGCTCCCACATCTCAGAGCTGCTGCGGAACCGAGTCCGCTTTAGGACATTGAACTTGCTGCAGTGAGGTCACTGTGCTGTGCCGGAGCTGCCAGATGCCTGGAAGCAGAACGCATCCAGTGCGCTTGGACTTAGCTGTTCTCACCTGTGGCTAATGTGGGCCAGCAGACATGGACTCCTAGATTGCTGGGGATGGGAAGAACGCTGCAGAACTGTGCAGAGCCTAAGACGCGAGAAGTCTACGTTTGCTTTCTTGTTGCCTCCCCAACATCATCCCACGCCGGGCCATCAGAGGCAGTTTTGTTTTTCAAAGGTTTGGATTTATTTTACAGCTACACAAAACACACCTAATTCAGTACTATGCTTTCCTCTTTTTTTTTTCTCATAATCATTTTTCTGTTACACCGTCTCCACAGATGTCACTGTAACGCAGGTAATATTCTGTTGAATGTGTTTACCATCCTTCCATTCCCTTTCCTTTTAGACAGTTGTACTTGTTGTATGTTCTTAGATTTTTAATCCCCCTCCCATGTTTTCTATTATTTAAGATAGATTACCAGACAGATAATTACTGTGTCAGAGAATATGGACATTCATTGCATAATGCCAAATTATTCGGAGCTATTGCCAAATCAACAATAATGTTCATTCATTACAATCTTGCCAGCCATGTTTCCTGGGGCAGAGGTTGTTGTTATTGTTGTTTTCAGGTAGATGCTTAATAATGTATATTTATGAATATCTCATGGATATTTAAAAATGTTCTTCTGTTTATCAGGTGTGTTACTTGTTCTCGATAGCTTTAGGTAATGCATGACAAGCAGAGTTTAGTGCCACTCGCGAGTGAGAGGTGCCCCGTGAGCTGTTTTTTCATCTGCTTTCATTTGAACTCTTTCCTGTAAGCGTGGGCTTGTCTGTTTCTCTTTACATCTCTCAAAGTACATGTTTGATATATTTGAGGCTTCTGTTAACATGCATAAAGATTTGTAGGTTTTAGTGGACTTTTCACTGTCTGAAAATTGCATTTCTCTCATATAATGCTTTTCATATTGAATTCTATTTTGTCTGCTATTAAATATTTCCAAGCCTGCTTTTTGTAAGTCTTTTTTTGTCTAGGAGATGTATTCATGTAGTATAAATTTGAGTTGCAAGAATATATACAAGGCAAAGGTTTTTTCAACCACCCCCAGTTTCCTTCCAGAGACAGGCAGGACATGATGGCTACTTGCATTCCTTCCTTTTTAGGGATCAAGAAAGGATAAGCCTGTGCCTCCTCAAGCATATGTAGATGGGTTCACACAGATGGTGACACCATCCTGTGCTGTATTCTACCGTGTTAAACGTGTGTTCACACAGATGGTGACACCGTCCTGTGCTGTATCCTAACGTGTTAAACGTGTTCTCTCACTAGTGCAGCTAGTCTTTGTCATAAGAGCTACATCTTAGTCCCATGCTCTAATGAATTGGCTTTCTGTTGAATGGACATGTCATATCTAACACTTCTGCTCTTGCAAACAGTGCTGCAAAGAAAACCCTTGCATATTTATGATTTGCACATACATGAATATTCATAGATACAGATATCTAAGAATAAAGCTCCTAGATCAGAAAGTGTAAACATTCTTTTGATAGCTAAATTGCAAGCTTCCTTTCCATTAGAGTTGCCTGCAGTATTGTTAATTATTTGTATCATTTTAGCTTTGTTTCATATCTGGACTTTCGTCTTACCTAATCTGAATATTTTTGTTTTTTTAACATGAATTCAACCCATTCATATATGGAACTGCCTTTTCAACATCCTCCTGAATCCTCATTTTATCTTTTATTCATAATTACATTATTCTTTTGTTTAGGGATTTCTATTAGATATTAGGTATGCAGTCCCCACCCCTGGTGTTTCAGAAAGCACACATTATTGTCTCACTTCTAATCCCTTAAAACCTTGTGACCATTTAAAACTAAGTTCCAGAGAAAGGGCAGCTGGGTTTGCTGTAAAGACTGTAGAATTTCCATCATGGCTGAGAACTCTTAGAGACGGGCATTTCTGTGAAGACTCTTCATATGGGGCACTGGGTACCAGGTCATTGTTCACCAAAAACATAATTTCCAAACTCCTTACTAATTGAAAATGACAAGATAGGCTGTGATGGATTTCAAGAGTGTTAGTTAGGGTTTTCCACATGCCTGGGATGTTGGTAATCCATGTGGAAACACATTCCTTATTTCTAGAACCAATTTAACATCTTCATCGATACTTACTTCCACATTCACAGCGTGGTAATCAGAGTTTGTGGGTAGCCAGGTGTGATTGCCTTCAGAAAACCCAGCATTTGAGCTGTTGTCCCATTGCATCGGTGACTTTGACAGAAGGGTATTCTGTGTCTAAAGACCAAAAAGAGAAAGCAGTGATTAGGTTGTTACAAGAAATCCATCTGGACCCTTTCTGACCGCCTCCAATTACCCCTTCAGTTCTGAGCTGATGTCGGTGCTCCCTGGCCTTCACGATGAGAAAGCCGTAACATACACTGTCAGTTTCGTGTTTTCAGTTTGAAAACAGCGAATAATCTCAGTTGGAAATATGCTTTTCCTAACTGAACTTTCACATATTTAGAATCTGCTGCTTTTGCTATTTTTTTTTGAGAAAATAAAAGGATTTCAGAATATTCCACTAGCAGTTCACGACACCCATCCTGCTGTAAACTGACGGCAGTTGAGAGCACTGCCAGACTCCACTGATCCTGACTTCTGCAGGCTGCAGCACCCGCCCCGGTCGTCGCATTTGAGCACCCGCACACAGTGAGCCGCTGGGAGGGAAAGTTTAAATTAACCAAGTAGTAAGGAAACTGCCTCTCGTACAGGTGAAATCCAGTTGCATACATTAAAGGGTCAGGATGCCATCTACCCAACAACCCAATCATGAGAGCCATAGCCTCAGACAAAAAAAAAAACACACACAATGGTAACAGGACAAGACAGTGTTTTGGTCATGTCACTAGCGGGTCAAACACCAGACACGAATTCCTGCTTGTGGGAGCCGAATCATATGCAAAGTAAGTCAACAGTCCTCAAATGTCAGTGCCTCAGAATCTGCAGGGTCCTTGGACCTAGTCAAGAAAGCTCAGTTGTGTGGCTCAGAAGGCAACACTTTCAGGAGCTCTCCAACTCCCTTATCAGTAAGGAAGCTGATAACCCTTACTGTCAACAGTTAAAAAAAAAGTGACCATAGGGCTAGAGAGATGGCTCACCCACATGGTGGCTCACAACCATCTATAGTGGGATCTGGTGGCACCTTCTGGCCACATGGCATACATGCAGACAGAGCACTGCATACATAATAAATAAATATTTTTTTTAAAGTTTGAAACTATTTTTTTAAAGTGACCATGACATTCAGTAGTGAAGTAGAGGTGTAGAGGGGATAAATTGTCTGGCAGTGTAGCCGTGGCCCACAGCTGAGAATGTCTCATACTTACAGCATCATAGCTTCCATTGAAATCTGTAACGGAAATGTCTCTCATCCCTATTTCCTCTCCATAGTAAGTTATGGGTGTTCCTGGGAGTGTGAAAAGAAGCATATTCATAGAGTTGATGTACTCATCCCCCAAGCGAGAGGTCAGCCGGGTAGTCTCTGGTCCACCTGTCTGGAAGGCAGACAGTTGTAAGAGCACAGCTCCGCATACAATTTCATGGAAGAGTTATCCTGTCTGAAACAGAAACTTCCCCCAGGCAGAAGGTCACTCTAAAATGCTGGTATCAGCAAGCACAGAAATGGGTCCCAAGGCCACTGATTTCAGACT